AAATTGACTAGTCTCTTTCTTCAGGTATGCATTTTGCTTATGTGGTTATAATACGGATTATCACCTTAAAAAAAAATATTCATTACCACATAAAATTCATGTTCAACCACGAACAAATTGTTGAAAAGGCATGTAACTGGGGAATTTGTATTTTGTATTTTTTAAGAGAGGTGCGGTTAGACTTAAATTTATATATCTTTTTTTTTATAAAATTAGTTTTATTTTGTTTGCTGCTCCCTAAGTTCATTTTCTTGCTGGGATTTTGTATTAGTCCTGCAACATTGATGAAGCAGCAGTGGAAGCTGCCATATCTAAATGTAGCATGCTGGAGACTCTTGATGTTCGTTTTTGTCCCAAGGTCGGTACAATCTTCTCTCCTTCGCCATATCGTTGTAAGAAAACCTACCTCTTATAATACTGTCTTTTATGATGATTGACAGATAAGCCCGATGAGCATGGGGAAATTACGTGCTGCATGCCCTAATTTGAAGCGCATCTTCAGCAGCCAGCAACAGTCTTGATTATAGCAAGAAGTGCATCTTTTCTTCCGGGGGCTTATTGGATTCGGCTTGTAGTCCGGCAATCAGACGTGGTCATCGATCCCGGAACTTGTATGTAAATGGTGTCATCGATTGTGCTGGTATTTGATTTAGGTATTAGTATAGGTAGCAGACATAGGCTTCTTATGTAGTAACCCATACGATAAGTAATGTTTTCTTTTATGTTGACCTATTGTTCATCTTTCTTGTATTCGATTTTTTCGGGACGAGTGGAATTCTAAACGATTGAGTTGTGTGCGTATAGGGTACTGAATTTGGTACTGCCTTTGTGTATACAATAAATTGCGTTTCTTGATTAATTTTTCGTAGTTCCATTTTCGACTTCCCGAAATTTCCATAAGGATTTGCTATTTTTGGACCGGAATTTCAAAGATGTGTATTGTCACACCTTGATCGTCTGCCGGTAAGGATTTGATTCAGGTCTTGTTGTACAAGAAATGCATCGAACCGTGAAAGGAAAAACAATGTACCACCATACAAAGTATACAAACCATCCGCGTATGTGTTTGGAGATTTTCATAGCTCTTGTATTTACAATATCGATTCCAACTGCTTCAGGTCCGGGTCCGAAATATCAAGATCTGCGTTCTCTAACGAGTTCCGGTAAGAATCGGCCGCTACCTTCCCCTTGTCTAGCACTTCCGAAGGTACAGTTTTGAGGAGGCTGCAAAGAAGACGGGTGTGTGTCGGAGATTGACATTGTAAGCGAAACAAGATGGGAGATAAAGATTCACCTGTCCAACGCATTAAGGGCAGTATTAATCTGTGCCTTCATCGAACTGACTGGAGCTCGTTCGTTCCTTGTTGCGTGCAAAAGCAAGGAATCCAGTTCCTCCAATGCCCTTCAAAAATTGAAAAATTTTCCGTCTTAAAAGTTAGTTGACATCGGTCATAAGCTCGTGACTGCTCCTGTACCCAGTTCAGAAGGAGCATAGTTTCGTCAAGAAAGCGATGGTACCTGAGACATTGATCAACATCGCTCGAAGCAGCCTTCCCATTACCATCATCTGAAGCATATTGCGCCACCTGTAGCTCCCGAAAACAATTCCAAGGCTCTTAGGAGTTCATCATGTACATAAAAACTGCAATGACATAACGCTGATGCTACTCAAGGAATCCTCAACTTACAGCTCGAATATTTATGCGAAGGGACGCTGCGGGGCCTGAACGCAGCAGAGACCGGCAAGTAGCAAACTGGGGTTGATCACCTTCCAGAGATTTCTCTGCAGTTGTTGAAACATATAAGCCCCGATAAATCGTCGAAAACGACATTAGAAAAATGAATGAAGGAAAACAAAAGCAAAGGAAATTACCCAAGTCCTTGATTTGTAATTGGGTGAGTATGACTGGCGACACATAAGCCTCGAGAGGGTCGAGCTTCTTCCTGAGTTTATCATATTTAGGTATGATCAGCGCTACTTGCATGGGTTAAAAGCGCTTTCTAATAACTGCGTCTAGCGGAAAAAAACTTAAAAAGTACTTTTAGGTCGTAAAATTGTTTCTGAAGCTCGAAGCACTTGGATTTAATAGAATAAAATGATGTAATCCTAACAAAAACGCTTCTAGCAAAAGCACTTATGATCACAAGCGCTTTGTACATGATGCATTCCCAAATGGTCGGTCCTCCATAGGATCGTTTAGAATTTGATTCTTTAAATTATGCTCATAAGATGCAAAATTGTTTTTATGACAAACACGTTCAAATTTTATTAAAAACTCAAAGTACTTTCTTGTAAGTTTTTCTATTAAGAGGTATTTGTTGATTTGCCCTCGAAATTTGTATGAAGCTGTCAATTTCTTTCCTGAACTTTAATTTTAGCCGATTAACTTTTATAATTAGTTAATTTCTTCCTTGAACTATAATTTTAGCTGATTACCTCCCTTAACTTTTATAAATGACCAATTCCCCTATTGGTGTTAGATTTTAATAACTTTCATTCAATTTTTTATCCATCCAATTTTCCATCATTTTTGCCTTCATACATGTGTAATGTGTTGTTTCCGTAATCAAGATAAATGAAAAATTGGATGAAAATTTTTAAAATCTAACGCGGGAAATTGGTTATTTATAAAAATTCAAAAATGTAATCGGCTAAAACTATAGTTCAAGGACAAAATTAGCTAATTATAAAAGTTCAAGGACATAATCGGTTACAATTAAAGTTCAAGAAGAAAATTAACAGCTCCATACAAGTTCGGGGCAAATCGAAAAATATGCCTTCTATTAAATGCAATCAGAAGCGCTTGCCAAAAGCTCTTTTAGCCCCCTCCCAAAGCTAAAGCTTAAAGCTTGTATGATGTATCCGAAAGATAATGCACTAATAGCTAAACACTGATTAAATAAAGTAAAAATTGTAATTACCTTTTCACATACTTGTCGAATCCGCCGGCAACAGCATCTGCATTAAACCCAATAATACAACGTGGTTTGAGTTAAATTTTGATCAAAGAAAGTGTTTACTTTTCTTTGCTGCCAAACAGGGAATAAGGATTTATGAGCCGTACGGTGAGGGACAAGGAGCAGATTAGAGAGGGCGAGTGACAGAGAGATGGAGACCAATCGCCTGCTCTCCCGCCAATTCGAGGGTGGCAATGCGCACCTCACCCGCCGTGACTTCTTTGATGCTGCGGCGACCTTTACGTGCTGTGAGAGAGGGACAATCGAGGAGCTGAAGGGGTTGGTGCTAACGTGCGCGGTGCTGCTCAGCGTGGCCATGCTAGAGACACAGATCAACTGTGAAGAAACCTGCGAGTCTTATCTGTTCGGCTATGCTGAATTTCCATACCTGCCCTTGAAAATTCTCTCTTTAACAATTTCTAGAGGGTTATGTTGAAGGGCATTATTTTAATTTTCTGATTTGATGAAGCATGTCGTGCGTCGTATGTGGCAATGTGCATACGAGAAATCAGGAGGGGTGGTTAATTATGGAATCCCAAATAGAAAATAGGATCTAAATTCCAAACCAAAAATTTTCGGGTTGGAATTTTGGTATTTTTAATTTTTGAGATTCTTGAAATATTTTTGGTATTTCAGGATAATTGGGATTGGGTTTTGAGTTTTGAGCTTTTGGGCATAAATTTGAGTTTTTTGGGTTGAACTAAAATTTGGGCTTTGGCTTTTGATTTTGTTACTCAAATTCATATCAATTGAAATTTAGGCTTTTTACCTATTACCAATTTAAAAATTCTTACCAATTGAAATACCAAATCATTATTACCAAGTCAAATTGACGTTTCAAAGTTTCAAACTACTTAATTTCATACTTCTATTTTTATTATAGTCTATTCTTAAATTACTTAAATTCAACTTTCAACATGCATGCAACCAAAATAAATATACATATATATTTTCGGTTTGGTTTCGGATTCCCGAACCATTGAATATGTAATCCTGATTCATGTACCAAAAGGTTCAGGATTGGTTCGGCATTCATCCAAAAAATTTCGGTATTATCGATTTGGGAATTTTTTGGTATGGAATCGAGATTTTTTTGGTTTGGTTTTAGATTTTCGGGAAAAATTTCTAGCCCTAGAAATAAGTAACACAAGTGTGAGTTTCATATCCACCGTGGGTGACTTAGTAATTGAGACGAATTTCAGGTCCGTATTTACAATACACATCTTGAGTTTGATTTCTAATATTGGTGAATCACATTATGGTGACTAGGAGAGGTTGAAATAACTTTTGGCCCCTAAAGGGTGGATTGTCGTGGCGAAGTCACTAGCTGGTCAATTTTGTTCAAAAAACAAGTGTTTGAGTTGTTACAATTCGCAATTCAATATTTGAAATGATAAGGAGACTATTTCAAAATAGAACTCTCCGCCGCCTCATATCTTTGGCACAATATTTTATAAATTTGGCAAGGGAATTGTGCCAAAAACATGAGGTAACTGAGAGTTTATGAAGATTTCCACTTTTAAGAGGGACTCCTTAACATTTCTCGTTTACTATTATAGTAATAGGTTGTTAATCTTTTCTAAATTCTATGCATAAATTTAAAGAAAATTATGTAGTACTTTCGAAATTATACACTAATATCTCTATCTTACTCGTCACGTTGTAACAACAGTAACTAACTACCCACTATAATTAAATGCCATTATGCTTCGTATCCTAGATTCATAAACTATCCTAACTACCAATAATTGGATTATTAGATTCAATGAAGGCATGTTTAGACAACCCACGTAACAAAGTAGCCACACTGCCATAATCCCAGACTGCAAAGCAGATGTACCAAACTGACAATGATTGGCAATGTGGTTGTTGTGAGAAATGGCTCAACTTTGAAGGAACATCCACAGATCCACTACGGGTTCAACCCGGTGACCCGGTTGGTGGTCTGTACCATTCTCACAATGCCCCACAACAACCCACAAACGCAAGTTTTCTTCTTTTTTTAACAAAAAATAAAAAAAAAAATATGAAGAAAAGAAGGCTCCTGCAAATAATAGCTGTCCAGTTACCCAAGTGAAGCCGACGCATTACTCACTCACTCATCCTCTCCTCCCCTTAACTCTCTCTCTCTCTCTCTCTCTCTCTCTCTCTCTCTCTCTCTCTCTCTCTCTCTCTCTCTCTCTCTCCCCTGAGTCTCAGCAACAATGGCGGCAAGCAGCACATTCTTTCTCTTTCTTGTAGTTTCTGTTCTTGTCGTCTCTGCTTCAGCTGGTACCCAAAGTAAGTGTCCTGCAAATCTGCGATGCAAATATATTCAAAGTTTCCGTCTTTATGCATGTTTTGATAGGACGAAGACAATGCAAGTACAAAATGTTGGAAAATTTGTCGTCTGTCTCAGATTTGGAACATATATTTCTTTGTGGGTGCTGATTGTTGGATCTGCTGCTTTAAGGTTGTTGGGTTTCTGTTTCTTTAATTTGAACTTTGAAGGTCTTGTCTTTGATGTACTTTCCCAAATGTGGATGCACTTTTCATCTCTGCAGTTGCATAAAAGTCTGTGAATTTATTGGTTGGAGTTTGTTATGGATTTAGATCATTGTGGTTAAAGATCAGAGCTTAGGTGTTGAGTGGGTCGATCTATTTGGTGGCAGACTTTTGCAGTTTAAAATCTTGCTTCTTTTCATAGCAATTTTACAATTTTGGATCTTGGATTGTGATGTTTAAGGGCACGCTTGAATAAGGGCGTAGCCAAGTTGGCTAGAGCTGTTTGCTCCCCCTCTGCATCCGAGTTCGAATCCTCTTCCCGTAATTTTGATTAGATTTGAATATTCTCTTCGGTTGAAGGTTGCCGGTTGAAGGTTTGTTTTATGGCAACCGAAACAGCAGATGAGATTTAAGAGGTGGTCTGTGAGTTGGGATGCAATGCAGCTAATAAAATTGCCAGATTTTGATTTCTAAACTTGGCAAGTTGGCATTGGACCTTTTTCGCCCTTACAAATTCGATACATTTTAGAATCTACATGGTTTTGTTTTTGGCTTCCCACTTCTCATTAGGTTCAGTTGTTGTGTTTCATTGGGTTCCTTTTTTTCACTGCATCGGGATTCGGGTGCAGTTTTCGCTTCATTAGGATTCGGTTTTTCACTTCATTGGGTTCAGTTTTTTACTTGATTGGGTTATATTTTTCGTTTCATTGGTTTCTGTTTGACTTATCATTTACATGCTCTCAAATAGTGTTTTCTTGTAAGGATAAAAACATTTCTCCTTATTGTGCTTGAGGCTCACAAAAACTTATAACCTCCGATTTATCATGGATGAAAATTGCAGTCAAAGTTACTAACAACCCGGCAGATAAACTAGTCGATATAATTAACAGCAACAGAACTGCACACAAAGCATCATCCCTCTACAGCAACCAGGGTTTGGCGTGCATTGCCCTGCAGTACATAAAGGCATATGAGGGTGACTGCGATGCTGTAGGAGGAACTGACGCCAAGAAGCCTGCTGATTCTGCATTTGCCGAAACATTTGCTCCCAACTGTGGCGTTCAACCCGCAACCCTCACTCCAATCACCGGTCGTTTAATTGGCTGCCAGTCCAAATATGTCCACGCTGATGAAGCATTTTCAACAATCTTGATTGAAAACAGCAAGGGCTTGGACATTCTATACAATAAGAATCACACTGAAGTGGGAGCTGCTGCGAGTGGCAGTGATGGCGGAGCTCCATATTTCTGGTGTGTGCTGTTTAGTGGTGGAAAAACTAACAGCAGCTTCGTAACGGAGGGAGGTGAGGCTAAAATAACAAGGCCCGGATGCTTTAGTGGTGCTAATGATGACTGCAGCGAATCAAATCACCCGGCCAGTGGTGCCGATGATTGGTCTAGAAGCAGTCATCTGTGGCCATTTTTTGCCACGGCTCTGATTGCAATGTGGTATGCCTTTGGATTGTGATCATGTTTTTAAGATACTGGATTTGTTTTCCAATTATTTCTGGGAACCCTTTTGGTCTGTTGTAATTTGGGTTTTCTTTCTGGCATTCTTGTCTGTAGAGTTGAACGGCGCGATCAATGCCATTCATTTTCTTCAGTTGTAAAATAGTACATTATTGGCTAATGGCTGCCAAGAAGCATTTATTCTATATTACAGATGAATGATGATTGATGAACGATCTATTTGGTTCTAATTTTTTCGTAATTTGTTATGACTGGAAAAGAGGTCGCACTTGGTGCGATGGCAAGTGCCTTCGCCCATGAGCGGTAGGTCTCAGGTTCGAGACTTGGGAGCAGCCTCTCCATAAATGGGGGTAAGGCTAGCCGACATTCACCTCTCCCAGACCCTGCGTAAAGCGGGAGCCTTGTGCACTGGGTACGACCTTGTTATGACTGGAAAGATAATGCAGAGAAGAAGCTGCTAACTCTTATTTATTTATGCATGAACTCTGTTCCGCATAACGTAGAGCAAATTACACAGTAAAACGAGAAAGTACTGCAAAAGATTTGAGCTTAAGCGTCCCAGTTCCTAATGGAAGATTTACACTTCAAAACCAAAGCCAGAACCATGAGGATTATTGTTATACCACTCGAAGAACCGCCAACTCTGTGAATCCAATAGGGATCAAACCTGGAAAAGCTTCTGTCTAAGAAAAGTGACAAAGCGATGGCCAAGATCAACACCAAGAGCAGCAAAGGCAGCCAAGAAGCGAAGCTGATAGGCTCCTCCGAATCAAGCTCTGAATCATCTGTAGTTCTGCGGTCGATGTAGAGAGGAGAAAGCACGGCTAGAAGGGCCAACCCTATCGCCACCAGCTTCTCGTATGATGAAAACCTGCTCGTCCTCCACGTTGCTCCAAGTTCCATTTTATGATACCAACTTAGGAGAGTCGGGAGAAACCACCTTCTGTTCTCTAACTTGGATCTCTTATGAAGCTTAAAAAGGTGAAAATGTCCCCTGTGGATGCTCTTTCAAAGAGTAGAAGTTAGAAGCTTAAACACGAAGCCCTAGTGCAAGGCTGAGTGGGAAAGATTATTCTCCAATAACAAAAATTTAGAGATAATTTGTACTGGTTGTGGCTGAATGGAATCGGATTCCTCATGCTTCCCATGAATTTTCAAAGACTCTTACCATATGAGTTGAATAACAAATCTGACGCTAACCATCTCCACTCTAAACTGACTATTTTATAATTTTTTTGCATTCACATGAGTGCAATAGGCTAAAAGACAAATATCACTAAAGTTGATCAATTTATCAAGGAAAAAGATTTGGGTAGGGGCCAAAACTACCAAAATCAACTTAGGTCTAAAAGTCTAAACCCTACAAAGAGGGGGTGGAGCTGCCTATATGACTTCTTAGTTCAAACGGTTTTCTAGGCAGGAAGTTCGAGAAGAACTTACAAACAACTGGAATGACATTGTAGTGCTATCTTATTAAGCCAAGTAACCACATTAGTGTTTAAACTGTTTCACATGGCAACGCTTGGTCAGTTGAGGATAGCGCCATATTGGCATCCCCGTTACAGGAAGGTTTCCTCCTCTAGTTCAATGCTCCACGATTTTTAGCCATGAAAACTGGTTTTGGGAATCATTCTTTGGACCTGAAAAGTGAAAACTAAACTTCAACAATGTCCACTTCAAATCCATCAAGAAATAGGCAAATACACAAACTTGCATATTCATTCATTGGTTCTAAGGAAAGGTGGTTTATTTGTGACTAAAAGGTCATGGGTTTGAGTCGTGGAAACTTCTTTGCGCAGTAAGAGTAAGGCTGCGTACGATAGACGTTCCCTCCTCGCCCCTTGCAAAGCAGCAACCTTGTTGGCTTGGGGTCGAATGCTAAGTGCTTTTACATTTTCAAATTAGACAGCAACATATGAAAAGCATCAATAGCACCACTATCTTTATGCTAGGCAAAAAATTTCTGCAATTTCAGCCAAGTACAAAACAAAGAAAGAAGGGAATAGCCGTAAGATTAGTGTTCGCTACTCGATATTACAAGAGAATAATAGAGTGTAAACCTAATTGACACCGCCTGAGCTCTTTGTGTTGTTGTTGCCCTGAAGTCTCGTCATCCATTTCTTTTGACATGTAGAGAGGTTAGCGATTTCGGTAGGAGAAGCAGTGAGTTCTTGGGAAGCTACTGACGACGGTGATGCTGGAAGCTCTGCAGGTAATGCAGCAGCTGTGCTTGTAAAGGCATTCAAAACCAAGAATGCCAGAATGGGGGAGAGATCCAATGAGCCTCCAAGCGGTGGGATTAACCCCCGAAATATGTTCAAGTACGGATCACATATTGTGCTGCACATCAAATCCACATCATAATCAATTTGACGTTCTCTTACCCAACAATCGGTCATGTTATGCTGTCAAACTATAAATTACGAGCATTGATCAAGTAAAATATACAGAACTGTACGGTCCTAGATCCTAATTCATAGTGTGACAATGTAACATATCGAGCAATGACAACCAAATCAAATATTTACAATACCTGAGGGGGCCAACAATGGCAGGAGGGGAGTTGGGGAACCAGGTGAGGACAAGCCTAACAACCAAGAGAGTGTTGTACAAGTTCAAGAAGTTGGAGATGCCGTTTGCCACCACAAGCCCCGCCACCGAATCTCCCGGCAAAACCGCCGCAAAATTGTGAGCTGATAAAGCCTTCACCTGATTGTTCTTTCTGCACCCAATCTGAACAACAACAACAACAAAAATTCAATAAAAACACACTTCAAAGAGTTCAATCATAACCACTTATCATGTTCTAACCAACATGAAGTAGTGTTTTCTCTAAAGTATCGGGCTTGAAGTGTTTTATTATTTCCCTAAAGTATCTTGCTTCAAGTGTTTTTTTATAAAGTATCGGAGTGGAAGTGTTTTTCTCAAAAGTATCGAGCTTGAAGTGTTTTTTTTTAAGTATCGGAGTGGAAGTGTTTTTCTCAAAAGCATCGAGCTTGAAGTGTTTTTCTCAAAAAGTATCGGAGTCGAAGTGTTTTTCTCTAAAGTGTGACGATATTAACGAATCGGAAAGCTCAAAGAAGAAAAAGGAAGCATTGTTTACAATTGCATAGTTGCATTAATATTGAAAATAATCATGAAAGAAATAATGCAGAGAGAAGTAGAAAAACCTGGTGGCAGATACTTTGAAATTCGCAGCGCAAAGAGATTAGCTTGCTGAGAAGCGGGTTTTGAGAAGCCAGCGAGTGAAGCAATTGGGAGCACTTATTGGCGGCGGATGCAATCGAAGCGGGAATGTCCGGAAGAACAAAATGGGGCTTCTTGGAGGATGATGACGACGATGATGCTCTGAGAAATGGTGCGAAGTTGGTGGAAGAAAGTAGCATTCCAAAGCTTGGTGCCAGAGGTTTTGGGGTTTCGGTGGCGGAGGCCGACTCGCTGGGAGCCATTTTCGTTCGGTGGTGGTGAGGAAGCAGAAGCTGAACCAGATAAAGCGTAGGATCAGAGGAGAGTATTTTTGGATAATTGGTGTTGTATTTCCCTGGCGTTGTGTGCTTGCAACGACGACGTTTTCTCTCCACTAGTTTTTTCTTTGGTATTTTGGTGTTCATTAATTTCATCATATTTCAATAATTAATTATTGCGTTAAAGAAATACATGGAAATCCCACTTAACAATAATATAATAATAAAGAAAGTTTTTTTTTTTGAATAAAAGATATTATCTATAAGGGATAGACTAAATCTTATAATAGGCTAGCAATAATATAGTTCAAATTTGCTTTTGGTCAAAATCGAGCTTAAGATCTCTCACTTATAACTGAAGAAGAATTCTACTAGATCATAATATTAAGTGATAATAATAAAAAAAAAGTTAGGTAGATCAAATTTAGAATATCTTTTATAAATCAATGTGACAATTGACGGTCCAAACTGTGAGAACTACTAGTTGAATAGAGATGAGAGTTGGTTGTAGTGAGTGATTGAACATCTTTTTAGTGATTTAAAGAGAACGTTCAACCATCAACTATCATATCATATGAGTTGAAAGAAAAAAAAAGATAATACTAGAAATTCCATTTATTTAGACCAAAATTTATGAATTATATAACGAATTTATCAATTATTGAATTATTATTTAACTGTTGATTAACGAAATCGAAAAAAACTATTCTACAATGATTCCTCTTTTTTTTAATATTTTGTATCCGAGCTTATTTTACACGAGGTGAGCTGCTGGCCGACAACAGTTGGGTAAGAATCCGACGTGGCAAACTAAATTTAATTCCAGCGCCAATTATTTTACCCATTTTCAACGACCACCTCAACCTTTCCCCTTCATCTTCCACCACTTACGTTCTTCTCTTCTCTTACTATCAGATCTCTCTCTCTCTCTCTAAACTAAGCTTTCTCTCTCTAGAATCTGCAGCAATGATAAACAGTATGCTGAGGCTCTCTCTCTCCTCTGACCCCAAGCTCCTCTTCAGCTACACCACCAACTCCTCCAGTGTTGACCGCTTCGCCTTCAACTTCAAGCCCCACCTCCCGCAACGCCGCCGTTCCAACCACCTCCTCCGGCCCCAATCAATCCCTAATTTCACCCTCCGCAGCTCCCTCCAGACCTCCGCCGACGCCGCAGCGCCGCTTCAGCAAGTCCAGAATGATCCACCCGCCGAGGCATCGGTCCTGCTCGATGTCTCCGGGATGATGTGCGGCGGCTGCGTCTCGCGAGTCAAATCTGTTCTCTCCGCCGACGACCGAGTCGACTCGGTGGCGGTCAACTTGCTGACCGAAACGGCGGCGATCAAGCTGAGGCCGGAGGTCGCCGCCGATGTCGCGGCGGAGAGCCTGGCGGGGAGGCTGACAGAGTGCGGATTCGCTTCCAAGAGGAGGGCTTCCGGGATGGGAGTGGCGGAGAGCGTGAGGAAGTGGAAGGAGACGGTGAGGAAGAAGGAGGAGATGCTGGTGAAGAGCAGGAACAGAGTGATTTTAGCTTGGACTTTAGTGGCATTGTGCTGCGGATCGCATGCTTCTCACATTTTGCATTCTCTTGGAATTCATGCTGCTCATGGTAATTTACTAACAACCAAAAATGCTTTCTTTCTTTACAGCTTTGTTTAATTTTGTGTATTTCGATTTTGACAATGGATTTTGGTTTGAATTGGATTAGGATCGTTTTGGGAGCTGCTGCATAATTCGTATGTAAAGGCGGGTTTAGCTACCGGGGCTTTGTTGGGACCTGGCCGAGGTTCGTTGATCTTCCTGCAATTTACTTGCACTTTTCAGAAAATTTGGATTGCAATCTTCTAAGTAGAAGTGCTTTCTGCTGTATAAACTAACAAATTTTCACTTTTCATGCATTTGCTGATACTTTTTCAAACTAATTTCGGGCAGACTTGCTTTTTGATGGTCTGAGAGCCTTCAAGAAAGGAGCACCAAACATGAATTCTCTTGTGGGATTCGGATCCCTCGCAGCTTTTACAATTAGTGCGGTCAGTCCCTGTTTGTTTGTTTTGTTTTAGTAACTAGCGTTGATTCTTCTTTTTTCATTTAAATGCAAGTTGGTTCCAATTTGTTTTGGTGTTCAAAGTTTTGAAATTTAAATACTTCGCTTGTGTAGGTCTCGCTTCTCAACCCTGGGCTTCAATGGGATGCAGCGTTCTTCGATGAGCCGGTGACTGGTTTTGCTTTCAACCTTTTCATTATTTATCATTTATGAAATTTTCTGCTTTTTGCACGATTACGAGAAGTTGTTGATATCTCGTATCAAGCTTGAGCCTTTAGTATCCCATTTTGCATTTTTCTGGGTTTGCTTGAGAACCTGCATTTTACAGTTACATATTTACATAGATACTAAAGATCTTTGGTTGATGAGATTCTCACATAAAGCTCGTCTCTTTTAGTATGCAGGTCATGCTTCTTGGTTTTGTGCTCCTAGGACGTTCTCTCGAGGAAAGGGCAAGGATCAAGGCATCTAGTGATATGAATGAACTCTTGGTAAGTTAGAATCTGACTCATGTAGAAAAAATCAAATTGATAAATTTTAATTATAATATATGCATGATGTGGCTTTTCTTCTTTTATACTTCAATATTTTATGTATACCAACACAAGTTTGATTTGAATGTGCTTGACAGTCACTGATAAACACACAAGCAAGACTTGTAATTGGTTCCTCGGAAAATGATTCCTCCAGCAACAGTGTACTTTTCTCTGATGCAATATGCGTTGAAGTCCCAACTGACGATATTCGGGTTGGAGACTCTGTGTTGGTTTTGCCAGGAGAAACCATACCTGTGGATGTAAGCATTTTGGATTGTCCGCAGAGACCAGCACTGAAAAAACAAATGTTCAGTTACTTGTCTAATTTGAATGTTCTTGTAAACTTGTGATTCAGTGTGTTCTGAAACTAAATTGCTTCAACAGGGAAGAGTTGTGGCTGGAAGAAGTGTTGTCGACGAATCCATGCTCACAGGAGAATCACTTCCTGTATTCAAGGAAAAAGACCTTACTGTCTCAGCTGGAACCATAAACTGGGTATGTTTATGTTAGCTTGAGAGTGATGTGTAATTTTATTAGATTGTCCTTTGCATGCCTAAAGCAGAAGGGCATTTGTTTACATATTTCAGGATGGTCCTCTGCGGGTTGAAGCATCTTCAACTGGCTCCAATTCAATGATATCCAAGATCGTTCGCATGGTAAGTAACTTACTTTCACTCGGACAATTTGTTACATATGATGTAGAGGATAGACACTTTTCCATTGAGGGAAGGTTAATAATGCAAGGAATTTTTTTTTGTTTGATGTTGTCTGTGTAGTATAATTAACTTTGGCACCCTTGCTTGTTAGTCGAT